GATTAAGCTGACCTCAGCAGGAGCAAGAAGTAAGCCCCTGATCTCACTCTTCTTTCCTGCTAATCTTCCAGGCCTTATCTCCCCCTGACCTGAAAGAAGCCAGAGGGTACAGGAGACCTTGATGCCTCTTAGGAGAGAGACTAGGATGACCAAGTATCTATTTAAGAAATGAAATTGGAAAGTACCTGCCCAGGTGCAATCATATCTACTATGCATAAATGAATGCATAAAAAATAGTCTCATAGAATGCACTGAAATGTCAGAGGTAGTTATCTCAGGCAGTGTTGTGACTGAAAAATAGAATTTTTTTCTTCTTCTTCTTTAAATTCAGCATAGGTCAATAGCTGCTTTTTGTGCTGTTTCTACAGTAAACATTTCATTGTGGAAAGAGAAGCTTGTTCTTGTTCATCGTATAATTTGAGATGGAATATGGTACTGATTTTCAGTATGAAGATTTTGTCATGGTTGTATTTGCTTAAATGAAATTAATTCTTGGGAATTCTGAGGAGGGAAAGGTAGCATATGCTGTCCTCTGAGCCATTCCCTAAAGTTGGGTGAGGCAAACCTGCATTTACTTTAAGGTAAGTTAATAAAAGTGAATGTGTGACAATATGTAGAAAAAATAAAATAATATCAAACTTTATTCTATAAAAATAAAATTTATTAAAAACCCAACATTATAAATTTCTGTGCTTTAAATGCTCACCTAAAATTAATGTAAACTTAGGACTCATAGATATGCAAATAACCAAACTGCCAGTGAAAATATGTCACAACTTGTAAGGTTTAAATTAAAGGAGCATAGAGCTTGATTCAGAAGTGAAAAAGAGGAAACCAAGTAGTGTGTTTTAGATCCCTTCAGGTTTGGTGGAAATGACTGGAAGAAATTATCAGACAAAGAGAAAATATGTGGATCATTGCAATATGGCAAAGGAACAAACATGATGTAGTTTTTAGAGAATGTGTGTAAAAAGGGTATCCTAGAGGTAAGAAAAAAAAAAAAAAAGAACTTTCTGGTTTCTCAGGCTTCTCTGAAAAACTACATGATGGCAAAAATGAAATTTATTCTTAAGTGTTAGATTTTAAATTTTCGCATACACCTGCAATCCTCAGCACAGACATTCCTGTCCAACTTTAACCTAAAAGCCTAGCTAAGCTGATTGCAGGGACAGTTACTTCAAGGATGACCCAACTTTTATGATCATTTTAACATCACTATGCAAACTTATCAGAGTTAAGACAGGATTATTGTTAGAAACAAGCAAACAAAAAATAACATCCATTTTCTGATTGGGAAATAAATTGTTTTAGGGTATGTAGTATTAGTTGGTTTGGCTAAAATAGAGTGAGGCCATTACTCGACATTTACACTAATGCAAATGACAGAACTGAGATAAAGCAAGGTATTTTCTGAAAACACTAGAATTTAGAGAAATTTTCTGTCTTAATAGAAAATAAATCTGTATAAATCTTGAAGTAAAATCAACAAATATCAATGATTTTTAATTCTTTATTATTAAAGCATTTAGATTGACCTTTAAAGGCCAATTAAGATGTTCTCAGGAGAATCCACCATCTTTTTTTCTTAGTCACCAGAATTAGTTATCTGTGACAGAGCAAAATGTGGCATGTAGGATTTTCTAATGAACTTTATTAATGTCATATATACATTGCATAATTCAAGCAGAAAATTTAAAAAAATTACCTTGGGCTGGGGTTGTGGCTCAGGGGTAGTGTGCTTGCCTAGCATGCATGAGGCACTGGGTTTAATCTCCAGCACCACATTAAAAAAAAAAAAAACTCAAACAAAATAAATGTATTAACATCACTTTAAACTATTTATTTCTATAATTTTGCTTAAAAAAAAAACTCAGCTCCCTGTCAACACTAAGTTTATCCTGGCAAGTAGCCTGGTAAGAGTCTGGCATATTGAATTGCTGAGTCACATCACCACGTGCAGTACATTTTGTTTGGTTTTTCTCTGTCATATTTCCATATGTAAGAATAAATCATCAGAAAGAAAATAACACATAATTTTCCTTCACATTTTAGAATACTGTTGGTGTACTTGGGCTGGATTGAAAAACAGAAGTCCTAGAATTAACCTCATGTTTGCTTTGGTCAAGTCACCCCTTTCTGTTTTCCTATTCAGAAATACAGAAAAAAATATTCCTTTCAACCTGAACAGAATTGTTTGACTATGATGTAAGAAAATTTATGATAAGTAAAACAGGATTAAAAGCCCAAACTATTCTTAAAGTTTCAAAGGAAATGAAAATAAAATAAAGTAAAATAAAGGTTGGAAAATAGCATAAAGGAGACTTAAAATTGATAATATGTTTAGAATTTTCAGAAGACTGTGTATCAATCTCTGCCTGTTTGAAATGTTTTTTCTCTGTAGTGATAGAGAGGTGGAGAAGAGAAGAGAATATGAATGTGAAGTCCTATATGCATGTAGAAGTTTTATAGGAAGTGTGGAAAGGAAGCAACCCTACTTTTATAGGGACACCTGGGAAAGACATTGGGCCTCAAATTATTCCCAATGCCAAAGTGATCATCGCATTTCCTTGCATTTGGGGTAAGTTACCAACTTAGAAGCCCAGTGGATAAAGAAACTGTGGTATATATACACAATGAAATATCACTCAGTATTAAAATAGAATAAAATCATGGCATTTGCTAGTAAACAGATGAAGTTGGAGAATATGATTATACTAAGTGAAGTAATCCAATCCCAGACAATGCAGAATGTTTTCTCTGATATGAGGATGCTGATCCATAATGGGGATGAGGTGGGGGAGGCATGGGAGGAAACTTTAGATAGGGCAAAAGGGAGGGGTGAGGGAGTAGGAAAGACTGTGGAATGAGATGGACATCATTACTCTACCCTAAGTACATGTATGAAGACACAAATGGTATAACTCTACTTTGTGTACAACCAGACATGAAAAATCGTGCTCTATATGTGTACTATGAATTGAAATGCACTCTGCTGTCCTATATAAACAAATTAGAATAAATACATAAATTAATTAATTTTAAAAAATGTAAATATTACTCAGGAAAAGTTCTGAGCCACTTTCCGCTATTTAACTATTTTAATTAAACAGCAGAATTTAAAGAGAAAGGATTACAAGGGGGAGATGCATTCCTAGATGAAGATTAACAGATGCTAGATTTCAAGTTTCAAAGGTTTCAAGTTCATAGGTCTCTGGATCCCAGATAGTCTGAGTAGAGACACTGAAGAAAAAACAGAAAGAAAAGAAGCATTGAAGATACATAAAGAGTTACTAAAATGAGAGTTGGCTGTGTTCATAAAATGCCTGTAGGTCAATCTTCTGGGTGTATACATGGACACCATCAGCAGGATTTAGCATCTTTGTATAGAGTTTAGCAAAATACATTGATCTCTTGGAGACATTTTCATCAGTTTTCAAATTGAGCGTACTAATATCTATTTTGCAAGACTGTTGAAAAGATGCTAAAAGTGTTTCTTCATTTCCCTTCTTTCCTTTAAGAATGATATTCATTACATCATTAGTATATAGGGGGAATAAGTTGGGAAATGGTTAATTAAATTTTTACTTTCCTTGATTTTTCTTGTGCAATGTAGTCTGAACACTAGCTGTCATAACTGCTAGTCATATATTTACATAATTAAAGATTAAAAAAAGAACTCTCATGAAAAGAACTCTGTTGTAATTCTCCCAAAGCTAATACAGTATGACATGGCAAAAATCTGGTTTGTGCTTTTAAAAATACCTCTCGGTCACTTACAAAATAGTTTTATTGTCCTCTGCTATAACAGTACAGAGATCTTAGAAGCAACAGTGTTGATCTGAAATTTCCAAGTGCCAGAAAACTGTACATCTTTGTTAACTATATAACCTGATGTGATGGTTAGCATATTATTATACACCATGCTAACATACCAACATTACCTGGTCAAGGAAATATGACCATGTATGTGAACAGCAATTAGGTGGAAAGTGTTATAAGTTATGAATATACCGATCTTATCAACATTATTTCACATAGGGTTGCTCTGTTATTACAACCAGAACAGAGTTCCAAGGCCCTCAGGATAATGAGTCTTTCTTGCTACAGGATCCACAGGTATAAAAATAAAAAAGTGGTGGTATTCCATCAACAAATATAACCATTGAGAGTTGGAAATGAGAGCAGTCACAAAGATTGGTGTTTCCCAGGGAAGCTGTTGAAGGGTATCTTCTGAAGATACCATGGCTTTTTAGAACAACAAACACTCTGTGCCAGGCACAGTGATGGCCCCCTCATGTTTCAATGAGGGAAAGGAAAGTTGCAGAAACCCATAATTTGGTTATTTCTTGGTACATAATACAGTCGAAAACACTCTCTAGTTAAACACTCTCTCTTAAAATACTCTCTTTTAAAAACTGGTGAACTTCTTGGGAATTTAAATACTAAGTTGAGTAAACTTTACAAATCACCTCAAGGTTGAAACCTATCTATTACTTAATTTGAAAAGACAGATATATGCGCAAGTAAAGAATATACAGCCACCTCGGTAAGTAATAATCTGAAGAGACAACAACTTTTAATTTTTGAAATGACTCAGGTATTCCTCTGATTCGAGGCAACCAAATAATAAAGAAAAACCAACACAAAACTGTGGCCTTGCTGGTAATTTCCATGAAAATTATCCAAATCCATCCATAACTGAAACAAATGCAATCAAACTGAGCTATGTTCTCTGCATCTTACTTCAACGGATATTTCTTTTTAAAATCACCAGGTTAATTAATTATTCTTACTAAAATAGAAAAATGTGCCCGTCTGTCCTTTATACGTAATGTCAGCACCATGAACGATAATCTGGGGCTTAAGATAATTAATACTATATATCCTCGCCTTTGAACAACACAGCTGTCAGCCACACGGCTTTAAAATTAATAAGCTCTTCAAAGCTATAAATCAGAAACTATGATAATTTTATAAAATATGTCTTAAAAGGCACTTACCTTTTAAAAGGAAAACATGCTTCTGGCGGCAAATAGCCTGTTAAAATAAAACATATTTATTGTTATTCAGTAAATATTATGAAGAATGATGCATTGTTATATTTATCATAATTACAGGCCAACTTAAAGGGAAAAAAATCTTTCCTGGTCTCATTTACTTTCTTTTCTCCCCAAAATGAAAATCACCTCCTTAGTTGTATAATTAAATGCATTTCTGTTCAATTTATGTGCACTGAAACCACAAAAGCTAATGAGTTTCATGTTTGAGAGCAAAAACAGAAATTACAGGGCACATTATCCAGGTCATGGGTGTATATTTGAGCATATTCCACTCACTGAGTATAATGAGAAGCATTCGAATTGACAACCATATCAGAAACTCTAAGGGTTAGATGTTGAGGATTTCATTTCTACAAAATAAAAATAAAATACCACCAGGTATAAGTTATTAATATCAAATGCACTCTTTTCAAGTAGTTTATTAGTTATTTGACTTTTTTATATACTTTTCACAGAACTGCATTAAAGTCAGAGAGATTTTTATTTACAATACTTCACAACTCTCACTGAGATGAAACAGGTACAGTCACAGGTCTAGGTAATATGCACCAAACACTGTGCCTCATACAAACTGTCCTGAATGAACACACTATTCAATCCTAATCAGAGGCAAAGGAGTGATACACTGGGGAACTTGGAGGAGAAAGAGTTGATGTTTTCTTTCCATAAAATTTGAATTGTTGTTCTCAGAAATCAAAACCAAAAAATATCTAGTATAATTTCTTTAGGAAGGCTGTTTGTTTGCATATGTAAAACTACACATGTGCAATTTTTCAGCTGCCTACATATATCACAAATGCTGCCATTCTGGTTTTTTTTTTGTTGTTGTTGTTGTTGTTTATAGAGTTGCTTTTTAATTTAACCTAGTTTTATTTTATCTTCAGAGCAAGTAAGATCCAAATTCTTGCAAACTTGATATCATTCAGATTCTAATTTGTAAACGGAGGTAGGTTTTCTTGTAAATTCATCTGAGTTCACTTGAGTGTTAAATTGTTAGGACAGCAAAATTGCTTCTCACTCTAAGTCCTAGATTGACTGTCTAATAAGATTTAGAAAGGGGGAGGTGTGCTCAGAGATGGATGGAATGACCATCCTGTGATTCTCCTGGCTCCTCTGTATCACCTCTGCTGCTTGCTGACTTTTTGCTCCTGGTGCACAGTTCTCTCAACATGCATTAGTTTACCCTGTGCAAACTTCAGGCCAAATTCCCTCCCAGACAGTGTCCTCTCAGTAATCAAGGGAAAAACTGATTAAGAGTCAATAAAACAATTAATGTAAATATTTATCCATCTAGAGATGGTTCTAAATATCTCTTTGGTTTAACAGAAGCAATCAGAACCAAAAAAAAAAAAATATTCTCAAGTTTTAGTCCTGCTCATTCTTGAAAAAAAAAAAGAGCTAATGAAAAAAGTAAATAAACAGCTTACTTTTCTCTACTACCAGCATAATGGCTAAATTTCCAAAGCCTTAATAATGGTTATCATTTAGCTTATTAAGAGGTCTACACAATTTTCTTGTTGTTCATGCACCCAATCTCAACACTAATCTATTATCCACATAGACATTAGAATATTTCTCATTTTTATAAGAAGCAGATATAATCTAGTTCCAGTCTTTTGACTTTTTTTATTGCTCATAAAATGAACTTGAACATCCTTGATGTTGCCTCCAATATTTGTTGTTGAGAACATTGCTGAATTCTCTAGATTAATTTCTCCCAGCACTCTTATCACAATTATACCAAGGAGCACTGGCCTGTCTTTTATTCCTGAAATTAACCTCCCTCTTTCCCATCTCAGGCTTGGGACCCTCAGCAAACAAGAACCATGAAAGTGCCTTCTTCTAACTTTTGACCCAACTTTTATATCTCACATATTTCTTTTTTTTTCAAATCCTAAACTATGTCTCTTCTGCAAGCTAGTAATTGTCTTTTGCTCAATTTTTCCTTTTCAAGCATTGTAGACAAAAGTTTTGACCTCTGCTTAAGTCCAGTATTGATAGAGAAAACATAATATTCATTGTCCAAACTGGAAGATTTTTGAGATATAAAAGAAGGCAGGAAGCAGATGGGATGTTAGTACAATAAATGTGATCCGGGACTGGTCTGAGCAAACCAGTGCATATGGTTTACCACTCTGTGGAGGAAAAATTATCATTTAAACTTGAAGCTGCCCAACTTTAAGAGGACAATATTCAAGCAGCTGATAAGCTTTGAAAGCTTATGGTAACTCATATAACATGTTATACAAACAAAGTTAAAATGAAATATCTTTAGTGCTCTTTCTCTGCACTAAATAACTATAATAAAAAAACGCCCTAAACATCTCCAAGGAAAATCAAAACAGCATGCCACAAACTTATAATGGTATGAACAGCTGGACCACAGCCTAAACCAAAGACATCAATTAATTGATATCTGGGCTCCTTTCTTGGTAAGCCAGGGATGATATTTACCAACCTCTAACAATTTCTCTTTCTCCATCAACACATTCACATTCTTCAGCTTATTTCCAACTAAGGATTTCAGCAGTTAATATTTACCCCTACACAAAAATGCACTTGATGATGGTCTAGATATCAGGACAGTAGAGAATGGGTTATTGATGGTCTAAATAAAAGAACAGTAGAATAGAAGTGGTGTCAGCACCTTAAAGAGCTTTGTACCCCTAGACAACCAAATCAGCAAAAGTCCTCTGAGAATATTTGAGTGTTAGTCATGAACACAATTGGAATGGAAAAAAAAAACAGTAAATGACCATTCCTTGCAGAGGCACAGCATTCAAATGATGTTTCTCTACAGATGGAAAAATAAGAAAATTAAAAACTGAGTATATGTATATTAGGGTCATTGAAGTGGGATGTCTTCCTTATTAAATGCTTAGTATTCCAGTTGTGTTCATCTCCTTTTATAAGTGTGTGTGTGTGTGTGTGTGTGTGTGTGTGTGTGTGTGTGTGTGTTGCACATGCACTATTGGATGTGCAAGGAAATTATTTTTTTCCTTTGGAGGTTGAAGTGAGAGTGTGATTTTTAAAGAGTTGGTTTTAGTCAGTGGAAAATGTACAGAATAGGCCAAAGACATGGGGAAATGTTGCCAGATAGTAATCTTTGGCTAATTTGGTGGAAGCCTAAAGAGAAAGACAATAAAGAATATAATACTAAAGTGTCCATATCATTATGTTTTGTTAAGATGTTTCACCATTTTTAACTTAAAAAACATAGAGGATTTTTAAAACAAAACCTGATATAATATTTCAGGTTAGCAATATGGTGGAAACAGACATAGGTAAACAGAATTGTAAAGAAAATTTTGCACTAATCCATAACTGGAATATAGAAGACTTAAGCTGACAGAATGGCAATATGAATACAAAGAAAGGGAATGATTCCCAAAGTATTTAAAAAACATAATTGATATATGGTTGTAATGATCTGAGAAGGGAGAATTGTAGAATATCTTTCTGAGTTTGGCTTGAAGGAGTAAAGAACAATTTGCCAAATTAGTGATCATAAGAAAATAAAAGAAGTATGAAACAAGGGAAAGAGATGAATTTGTTTTCATACTTTTAAGCTTTAGATTTTTGAAGGTCAGCAAAAAAACTCAATAACTGACTCAACACTTTGATATAATACACTACTCTCATTTTATAATTTATGAAATTAACCCAAAGATATTATGCTTGCTGCCTCAAGGTGGTATACTTACCATGTGGTAGAAGAAGGATTTTACTCCAACTTACTTGACTTCAACCTCCTTTCTTACAGAACTGACTTTGTAGCTTATTATATTTTTGCTTTTATACCACAGTTTCTGCCTTTGTAAAGCAGTGATGATATCTATCCTTTTCATTACTCGAAATAGGTAATGATGAAGTTATGGTTTAGTTTTTTTTGTTGTTGTTTTTAAAGCCAGAAATCTATAAAGAAACCATATTAACTCATCTTGGTGCAGAATTCTTTTGGAACTTAATCATTGACAAGCAAATACCTTGTCAAAATACAGAGTGAAAGTGGTTATGTGGCCCTGCCCTACCATTCCACATTGATTTTACTTAATTAGGGTACCAGAAACCATGACCACATTTACATTGGTAGAGGACAGTGATGTGAGGCATTAAAAGAGAACAGATGGCCCTTGAAGTTGAATTGGTTACCTAGAAAGACATGCACTTTCAAGTTTTTCATTTCTCTCTGTTTTAGTCTGGCCTCTAATGTTCTTTTAATGTAGATTTTTATTTGTGCAGTTCATGGTTGTTATGTGAATCCATTGCTACTGAATATATTGAATCTTAAGTCTTTTCTGAAAATTAGCATGGTTCTTTGTAGTTATAAATAACAAATGTATTCCTTTTGATAGAAAAGACAATTAAAGGGCTTTTTTGCTATCTTTTTATTCTTAAATTGTGTTCATATTGATTTATTTAGATTGTTAATCATCACCAAAATTAAAAGATTATCTCAAACAAAAGCATGTCATATAATGTCTATTTTGCTCCTTGCTAGAAATGGACCATTACACTGCCAAAATATATTGTCTGAGTAATTTATTTTCCTGATTTTTCACCTTCCCCCCACTGTAGAATGCAGAGATATGTTAGAGTATTCATTTAAATTCTTGTGTTTTCATAGAGGATAAAAAAAAGAATTTGTCATGCACACCACAAAGCAGAAATATTATTTATCACTGAAATTAGTGAAGGGTTGGGACACATTTAATTGTGTAGGATATATGGCAGCTTGTGGAATTTTAAAAAGTTGAATTTAGATAGAAAGGATTTTGTTACTTTAATGGTATAAAGGCCCTTAAAATCATTTGCATAGTGTTTATCAAAAGCGAATAGCTAGATGTTAAAAGTACTGTCTGGAAAGTCACATTGCCTGGATTTAAAACATATCAGTGCTCACCATAGTGTGATCTTTGATGAACTGCCTATCTCTTTCTGTTGTGCTTTCTTAAAATATAAAAGGAGGGAAATTAT